TAAAAAAAAATAAGTTTCAAAGCCTTAAAAATTGGGTAATCTCACTGGTGGGCAACATCAAAAAATCCGTGACACCAGCTGAGACATTTATTCAGCCTCTCACCAGTTGATGTCTGACAGCAGTCACCCTTATATACTTCCTACAGAGCCACGGGAGAGATTTCCTTTCCAAAACAAAATGTATTAGAGCTTCACTTGGGCTCTCAAGAATCAAAAATGGGTAAGGTTGGAAGGGACCACTGGAGGTCATCTAGTCCAACCTCCCTGCTCAAGCAGAGTCCCTGGGAGCACATTAATCTGGATTGTGTCCAGCAGCTTTTTAATATCTTCAGGGGAGGAGACTCCTCAAGGTCTCTGGGCAACCTACTCCACCAAGAACCATTTTGTATGCAGATTTTTGGAATTTGCTCAGCAACATGCAGGAAACAAGAATAACAAGAGAAGATTTGCTCACTTTGTTGTTTCCAAAGCAGATTTTTCTTTCATGCCATGGATCAGGATGGAGCTGACCCTTATAACACAGCAGAGAAAGCAGAGCAGCCAAGGTTATGGGTAGCTCTAGCTCAGTGTGAAATGGTGATTCACACAAAGTCAAGCAAGCAGAGACCGACTGTAATACAAATGAAGATAGAGGAGGAAGAAGATGTGGATGCAAGACAGTGCAATGGTGATTCATGAGAACAGGGCATAGTTCAAAGCCATGACTCCTCCCCTGGAGAGGGCAACGTTGTCTGATGACTCCAGCAAGGGACTCAGGAGCATTGCCCCAACCCAGATCATTGCTGACTCTCTAATCAGCTGTCTTCTTTATCAAATGAAAATATTTTTGCACTTTCCAGGAGAAACTTCTGTATCTTTTCCAAACTGATTTGACATTCTGAAATGAAAGGACAGCTACTTGTGAAAATGCTCCCCTAAAAAATGGAGATGGGCAAAGAGACACACAAAAGGCAGGTACATGACCCAGGTGTCACAGACCCAGGAGGATATAGGAGAGAGATGCCCTCATCTCTACATCTGATGTGCAACAACCACGCATGGTGAACAGCCCTCACTCACCACCATGCAGGAAGATGTGCACTCCTCCTTATCAGGCAGCCCCAGGCAGCTTCCCTTGCTGCCTTCCCATCCCTGGTGCTGCAGGCAGCCAAGGGCCCTGAGATGACAGAAAAAAAGGACAAGCTCATCGGGGAACCAGCAGCAGAAGAAATGAAACTGAAAGGTTTCTGAGAAAATGTTTGTGTGAGGCTTCCACGAGGTGTCAGCAACAGCTATTATTCATCAGAGCTGAACAGAGTGCCTGGGGCTGCCGTACACCTCCTCACATGGCATGTCCTCACCAAAGGAGAACAAATCCTGTCTAGTGACTGCCAGCAGCTCTGCCACCGTGTCTCTGCACAGGATGACCAGTCTCTGTCCTGTGTCTAACACAGTAGAGCAGAGGGTTCCCCACGCCAAGCCCAGACCCCCAAGGACCAGAACAATGTACTTGCATATTATCCCTGATCTAAAAAACACACCAGTGAAACAGGATGGTCGAAGCAGCGTTACTGCACCCCGTGTGCAGGTGGGATGCTGGTGGCAGAGAGATTAAACTGAAGATCAGTGATGTACCTGTGGTGAGAGGGGGACATACACTGTGTCTATGCCAGCCCAGCGCCCCTTTCACAAAAGCCCTGACTCTCCTCATTCCTCACTTCACTCTGAAGATGTGCAGTTTTAGCTAAACAGGACATTAGACATTTCTCTCTGACTTGTTGATGAAGATCCCAGAGGCTAAAAGTGAAGTGGCAGCTGTGCTGCTCCAGCCCACCAGGGATCTGGAGCTGTTGTTCAAACTTTGCTGACCTTTGGTCCTGAGCCTGTCTTTTTCCAGAGGAGACTGGTAAGTGTTCAGAGTTAAACCCATGCATGAATTCTTTGCAAGGACTGGAGTAAACCCTGTATCCTTTATCTCTATTCAAGAATGAGGGATGTACTCTTTGCCCGTCTTCAATCTCATGCTCAAACCCAGCACTAGACTATGTTCAGTGTACTCCCTGATAGTGCCTATTTTTATTTTGCTTTTAATTAAAGTCAGGTTCATTATGTCAAAATTATCCTGCCCTCAATTTAATGAAAGCCTTAGGAAGCAAATGACGTCTGCCACAAGAAATGGCAGAGCTTTTCCCTTCGCCCAATTACGTAGTTGGGGTTTCTGTAGTATTAAGAAGGTTTTAGTTGGTCACTGGCTGGAGAAACCAAAGGATCAAGATCCCAGAGGAGGGTGAAGATGAAAATAGCTCTGAGAGAATACGTCACGTTACTTGGATGTGGCTGCACAAATAGAGTAATCTCTGTCATGTGCCAAGGAACCTGTGATAAGCCCTCTCATAGTCAGATTGGTAATAAGATCAGCTACTTAATTCAAAGTGATTAAAACCAGGCTGGACTGCAAACAAGCAAATCATGGGTCTGTGCAAAAAAAATATATATATCAGAAAAGTTTCTGGGCTGTCTTGTTACATCACTAGAGCTGAGCACCGCACCCTACAAACAATTTTGGGGTCAAATGCAATCCAGTGCAGCCCACAGACAGGCTGCCTTTCCTACAGGCAGGCTCCCACTTCAAATGTATGTGACAAATACAATATGCAAAGGGTTACCCACCAGCTGCGAGGCTGAAAGGACTTGGCACGCTCTGGCCTATTTTTAAGCCACTGCTGGGGCCAAAGCACACTATGGTTGTAACCATTCCCACCACCTCTGTAGGAGAGCTTGGCCTGTGAATAATGGTTCCACTCCTACACCAAAGACACTAATTTCCTATAAAAAAGCCAGTTTGGCTTTGCAACTGTGCTAATGCCTTGCCTTTGGGCCCTGACTTGGCTTGCTCAGGCATATGTGCAGGATGAGTAGAAGTGGCTGGGCAACCTGACATCACCACACTGGACATTCCAAATTGAAGGCAATGTCCTAGCACAGCTAGAAGAGGATTTGGGATTCTCATCAGGGTATTCCCCAGAGCAGGAGGCACACAGAGATGTGGTGGGTACCACTGCCATCAGCAATGGGCAGCAAGGCACGGGCAGACAGAAAGGAAGAGCTGTTGAAGCAGCTATTTTTAAACCATTTCTTTGGGTCCTGCACTTTGGTACAAATTATCCCATGGCTGCAGTGATAGGACGTGACTGACAGGTCAGTGCCCTGGTGGTAGCAGGGAGTGGTGAGGCGGCTGCCTTTAATGGGTTTTCACCTGGAATCGGAAACAAGCAGTGAAAGAGGATTTTCTGTGCCATGGCTGACATCCAAGATGCCAGGAGCCGTGGTGGATCTGCAGGGATCCTCGGATGACGAATTGTGCTGACAAACGCTGGACGTAATTCTCTCCGGCAAAGCAGATCAGTGGATGTTATCCTTCTTCTATTCTCTTCCCTCAGATGTGGTCAGCAAGAGTGTGACGGTCAGTGTGACAGTATCCTGCCCAGCTCCCCCACCTGCCTGCATCCCCTCACACGGATCCCCAGGGTTTGCTGTAAGCATTGCTTGGCAGGGAAGTTACAAAGCAAAGGAAGCACAGTTTAGGCATTGTTTCCCTGGCTGAATGGTGGTTCAGAAGAGGCACAACAAAGGGGATGGCTGTTCCTCGCCAGCTTCTTACTCATCGTGGTCATCAGGACAGTTGGTAGCGTGATGTGGTCTCTCTTCCTGCTTCCCCGAGTAGCTTCTCAGAGAGGGCTGCAGGGAAGCAAAGCATTTCAGCCCCTGTCTGGTGATCCCCCTCAGTGTGCACAAGTGTCTCTATTCCAGCAGCAAACAGCAGCAGTGGGACAACTCCAAGGACAGAGAAATCAGAGCTGTGGTCTGTGAACCCATCAGTAACTGGCATTGCCCACCTGCAGATGCCAGAGAGTCTGATCTTCCTGATTGAGAGGACAATGGCTGCAAGAGGGGGAGACACTAGGGCCAAACACGCAGAGGAAGACGGAAATGGTCTCAGGGGGTCAAGGATGGAGCAGATCCCAGTATTTGTTATCAGTAAGGAGGCCTTATGAGAGAGCAGATCCCAGTAATGCCAGCACTTGCTTTCCCAGTGTGTGACATGCATTTTAGGGCCAAGGGACTGCAGGTGCCCAAGGGGAGCCCCTGGTGCAGGGCTGTGGGTAGCGCTGGGCTCACCCCACGCCATGACCATCTCCTTGCTCTTCTGTAGCCTAAACCTGACAGGTGCCTGTCAGAGGGAATGGCTGCAGGCAAATGTCACTCTCTGGAGACATCCCAGAGACACAAGTTTAGCAACAAGCACATGTGCACACACGTGCGCTGACCGAAGCGCAGTGCCAAGCCGCAGCCCGAGCCACCCACAGGGGCCAAGAACTGGCACAGGCCAGGCTGGGCCCTGCCAGGGCGGGCACAGGGGTGTGACAGCGCCTGCCCCGGCACACGTGTACCCGGGCACTGCACGTCTGCAGCCTCCCACGCCCCGGAGGCCGGGTGTCCCACAGCCGCTGGGCACAGGCCCGCTGTGGCCCAGACACCGTGTGCCCTTGACCCATGTGTCCAGGCTCTGCTGTGCCCCGGACCGCCCAGACTCACGGCCCCATGCCCCCGGGATTCTGCGCCCTCTGCTCTCTGCATCCCTCAGCCCCAGGGCCCCACACCCCGGGACACCATGTACCTGGACTCCATACCTTTGGGACGTCAGACCCCCGCACTGCTGGGACCCCCTATCCCTGGGACTTCATACCCCCGGGACCCCACACCCCCATACTTCAGGAACCCATGTCCCTGTGACCTCCTGCTCCTGCAAGCCCCGATCCCTATGCCCCCGGGGCCCCGATGGCCCCGGCCCCCGCCCCGCGGCATTCCCGCCCCGCCCCCGCGGGACTCCGAGCCCTCAGCCAAGTTTCTTGGAACTTTGCCTTCCGTGACGCACGCGCCGGCGCCGGGCCCCATCCTCCCGGCGCAGCCAATGGGCGGCCGGGGCGCCGGGGCGGCGGCCAATCGGCGTTGGCCGGACAGTTCCCCGGTCCTGACCGACCTTCACCGCCCGGGCGGGGGGGCGATAAAAGGGCCCGGCGGCGGCGCGCGGCGCTCCCGCCTCCCGCCCCTCCACTGCGGCGGACACGGCACGGGCGGCACCGCGGGACCGGCGGGGAGGTGAGCGCCGGCAGCGGGGGGAGGGAGACAGGCCGTTCCCGTGTACCGGGCCCCGTTCGTCAGGGGTATGGGCGTCCTGTGCACTGCCGGGAGGCCGCTCCCCTGTAGCGGCTCTCCGTGCACGGGAATGAGGGTGTCCAGTGCACCGCGGGGAGGCCGTTTCCCCGTACCGGGTGCCCGTGCGCCAGGGACATGGGCGTCCTGTGAGCTGAGGGGAGGCCGTTTCCTTGTACCGGGGACACGGGTGTCCCGTGCAGCGGGAGCAGGGACGGACAGAGGGAGGGATGGCGATTGCGGGGTACGGGTGTCTCCTGCACCGGGATGTCGCGCCGGCTCGCCGTCCCCCGCGCCGGCGGGGAGGCCAAGCCCGCGAGCCCCGGAGGCAGCCCGGGGAGCCCCGGCCGCCCGGCACTGACCGCCCGTCCGCTCCCGCAGGTCCGGGCCGATGGTGGGAGGCAGCCCCCGGCGGAGCCCGGCCGCTCGCCATGCCCTGGAGCGTCCGCTGGGTCGGCGGCTGCGGCGCCCAGTCCCAGAAGCAGTGCAAGAAATCCTCCTTCGCCTTCTACCAGGCGGTGAGGGACCTGCTGCCCGTCTGGTTCCTGGAGGACATGCGGACCATGGAGGTCTTCCACTGGGAGGACGGGGGCAAGGTGAGCGTGTACTCGCCCTCGGAGGCGCTGCTCTACGCGCTGGTGCACGACCACCAGCCCTACGCCCGGCACCTGCTCACTAAGTTCCCGCAGAGCGCCCTGGCTGTGCCCAGCCAAAGCTTCAGCTGCTGCCAGTCGGCCCCGCACCTGGCCATGGCCGTGCGCTACAACCGCGTCCGGGTGCTCTTCCGAATCCTCAAGGCCATCCAAGCCTTGCCCCCGAGTGACAGAGCCGCCCACCTGGACCGCCAGGGCTGCAGCCGCGTGGAGGGCGGCAAGACGGCCCTGCACATGGCCTGCGAGCTGGTGCGGCCCGAGTGCCTGCTGCTGCTGCTGGGGCACGGCGCGGCGCCCTGCCTGCGGGACAGCGCGGGGAACACCCCCCTCGACACCCTGCTGCAGCAGATCTCCCACACGCCGGCAGCTAACATGCGTGCCAAGCTCCTCTGCCTCGACTGCCTCTTCTTCTTCGTGCCTCAGGACCTCAAGTTTGCAATGAAACAGCAGCTTTTGGACAGCCGGCAGCAGTGGCAGGACCTCCTGGGAGAGAGCAGGTTCCAGTGCCTGGTGGGCTTAGCTCCCCCATCGCTGTTTGTCGGAGCCATGCGTGTCTTGATCAGGACCATTTCACCTGAGCACTTCCCAGAGGCTCTGGATAATCTGCCTCTGCCTCATTTTCTAAAGCCTTTGGACTTGAAACTGGAAAGCTAGAGGGCTGGTATGGGAGCCTCCTGCTCACCTGACAGAAACAGACTTGTGCTAAAAATGTATCATTATACAAAGCTGCTAATGCAGTGGCCAAGTATCTGTTTTACTGAGAACAGTATTTTTTAAAAGAATTGTATCCGGCACTTTACAATATATTTTATTTAAAGATCCTTGTGGTGAGGTGAGGGCCATGCTGCATTTTATAAAGATGTTCTATGGCATGTACAAATGAGGGTATGGGGAAGAACATATTTGTAAATACATCTAAATAAACCAGTGGCAGATGTGATCAAAATACAAAACAAGCAACTGAAAACCCTGGAGTGGCATGTGCCTTGGAAAAGGGTGTGTAGGGTGGGGGAGTATCTTTTTGTTAGGATTTCCCTGTTACATAAGCCTCGCCGTCCTGGAACAGGATGACTCCTTTTTTACAGCTCTCCTAATACATCTTGGCAGAGATGTGGGTTTTTTTTAAAGGCACAGATGAAAACTTCCTCGTCTTGTACACAAGACCAAAGAGAAGCCAGATACTGTTACAACTTCCCTAAACAAGGCTGCCAAGGATGTGCATCTGAACAAAATGTATTTTAAAATATGCATAAATAACAGTTGGCTTCCTTGTAAAGTTGTCTGTGTTCTCCTTGGAGGGCCAAGGTATTTGTTGTCAGGCAGAGAGATGGAGCACATGTGTTGCTGTGGCCAAAAATGTACCTGCCCTGGCCAGGCTGGACCCTGCAGCCCCTCTGTGTGATTGCTGCAGGGTGAGGAGGTAGCACAGAGCAGGAGAGCCAGCCTGCTGTTCCCAGGGGGATGTAAGGAGGTGTGACAATGGTCCAGGATCCTAGACCATGGCTTTTTCAGTGGATTCTGGCCACTCCACTGCCACTCCCCATCAGTGTGTGATGGCTCAGGTTCAGCTGAGAGCAGCATGACAGTCTCATTGTTCACTCTGGGTGCCAGAGGAGTAGCTTAGGTATCCAAACTGTCCCCAACTATCCCATCTGAGATGCTCCAAGGTAGAAACAACATCCTCACAGCTGCTCCAGATCAAAAAGCCCTTTGGAGGTAATGTCCTGCTTCCAACACTTCTGTTTTGACTGAGCAAAGGGTACAGCTTCAGTTCCTTACTCTGCAGCCTTTACTCTTCAGCATTCTGGGCAGTCCCTGTGTAACTGGCACTGCCCCTGTGTGCTCTGCAGGGAGCTGTGCTGGCTCCATCAGCCCTGCAGTGATAGTGATCTCCTGGGACACAGCACTGGAGCCTTGGCTCTGTTCTTGGAAGTTGTCATTGAAACTGTAGGGTTTTGTTTCAAGGCTTAAATTCATAGCCAGGGAGCTGTTTGCCACTTGAACTATTTCAGGACTGCTGTTCACTCAAGGGTCATCAAGGAATTGATGTGCTTAGGAGAGAACAGCTATGTTCAAGGCACAAATTTCTTTATTCATTAATTAATTTTGGTTAAGAAACGAAAAAGCCACAGAATTAGGAACTATAAGCTGTTCATGTTTCAGCAGAACAAAGTGGTATTTAATCTAAAATAATCTCTGTACTGCATGCACAATAAAAGATAAGCCATGCTTCTGAAATTTGAGAAGAAACAGAAAGAAGATTGCTATTCTTAGCCTGATAGCACTGAAAATGTTTCCTAGAAGAGAAAATGTTCCTTTTTCCTAAGAAACGAAGCTGATACATGCTCAAACCTATTACCATGGGAAATTCAAATTCCTTGCTGGAAAACATGGAAAATTCTAACTGTTCTCTTCAGCTTCCTTGTTGGTTATAAACATTCAGAAATCCAGAGAACTAAACCTAATCTTCCAAACCTAGCCACTTCAAAATATTATCTGTGTTGCTACGCTCTTCATTAGAGTACAAATTCCCCATTGCTTCTGTAACAATGGTGTGGAAACATCTTTCCAGGCAGACAAGTAGTAAAGGAGTCAGGTCTAACTTGCACATGGCAAAGTTTCCAAGGTGAGGTGGGGAAGAGACAGAGCAGGGGGTGGGACAGAATGTTTATCAGCTCTGCTGACAAACACATAACGAGATTCAGCAGTAGGGGGGAGTTGGTTGGTTGGTTGAACTGGAAAATGCTCCTGCTCCCAAGCTGTGAGAGTAATTACACCCTGGAACAGCACAACAGGCTGGGCAGGATATCCTACACCTTCAAACGAGCCCTTAACAGAACACCAATGCAAAGGCTGTCCTGTGACTCCCTGGAGCCCTCCCACCTGCTCTGGGGTAATTCATTCCAACAAACAGAGCTGATCCCCTCAAGCTGTCGGGATGGGTGCAAGCCAGCTGACTGCTGTGCCCTTCCTGTTATTCTGGGGCAGGAGTCAGAGTTGGGGCTGAGCCCACGCTGGGATGGCTCTGCCCAAGGTCACCAACAGCCCTCGCTGTGTGTGGCTCGTTGATGTCTGCCACGCTTCATCTGGAGAGGAACTGTGGGCAGAACACACCGGAGAGCACGCGGATCACTCACCCAGCTGGGTCCAGGCTTGTTTTTCAGACAGAGTCACAGCTTGGAAAAAGGCTGGGGCTTCTTGGCATTGGAAACAGGAGTCTTTTGTTTATAGACCAAGCAATAGCAGCATCATCTTTCCTCAGACTGACTTGCCAGCACATCTCTGTCTTCTGCCGCCTTTAGGGCACAGTGGAGTGCAGGCTCCACAGCCCATTCAGTTTTCCATCTCTTGGAGAAGGCTACCAACAAAAGTACCAAGAAGTGCCAGCTACATCACCACTGACAAGCTTAAAAAAGCAAACATGGACAGTGATTATGTCACTGCAGAACAGAACTGTGGTGCTAGAGCCAGGAAGCTGGCCACAGAGGTGTGGAAAAGAAGATTAACAAAGTCCTAACACCATGGGAGCGGAGGGGTAAGGAGATAAAAGCTTCTGTCTTACCTGCACATGTTAATGTTGTCACACATGGCAAATTACTCATCCATAGGAAATGCTTTCCAAAAGCATGCAAGACAGTCCAGCATTCCTGAAAAGCCTGGTTACAGACAGCCCCCTAAAAAACTACCTTCTGTCAGGAGACAGTGATGAAATCTAACAAATATGTTCCATGGGTTGCTCAAGCACTTTCAAACCAAAATATTCATATACAACCCACCTTGTAGTACAAAGTGGCTTTATTTGCTGTGACAGCAAGGGGAGGAGGAAGTACTGCGTTAGTTTTGACTCTGCAACTGACTCTGCTCTACAGTTCCCAAAGTTTAGCCTGCCTAGAGTCTGCTGAAGGAGATGAAGTCTATTGTAATTTTGGGTAACTTGTTTAAAAGATGGGTTTGTGCTCTTTAACAGTCTTCTTTTACCCTGGCACAGAGTCAAGGAAAGACAGAGACTAGAAAGAGGCCAGGGTGCCAGGTTTGTTTCCTAATTTCCTATTTGTCCTATGTCTGGTGTCCAAGCCATATGGGTTTTTGATTTGCAGTGTAAGAAATGTCCTGACATCAGCAGATCCTTGTGCATTGCATCATCCCATCCAGGCAAACAAGGCACTTGTGCCATGTGCTTAATATTTAAAGAGCACTGTAAATCCTTGCAAACCAAGATTCATAAGATCTGAGTTAATAACAGTACTTCCATCCCTGCCTGGTGTCAGCACGTGTCTGAGGCTACATAACCATTAATTTCCAGGCTGGCTTCAGTGGTCTCTCCTCCCCCACCTGTAAAGTGTGAAAAGCAAGTTCTGCTTATGACTTGCTCAGACCACATCCAGTTGTCCTCTATTACCAAGAATCTCATCTGTGGTGCTGCAGGGCTGCTGCTTGCACTGATTTGCTCCTGCTCTCCCCACCACACAGGTACAGCTGCACATGTGGCACAAGAGTGGAAGGAGCTGAGCTCCCCCTCAAAACCTAGCTCAGCAGGAAACACAAATGCGGTTTGCAAAAGCATCAGAGATCCCTCCCTGCTGCTACAAGAAATGGAACCAAGTTCAGCTGGGGTACAAAGATTGCCCCCATTTGCCCTGATGACCTCTGAAATGACCAGTATCTGTTTGCCCAGTGATTTAGTCGGTAAATGAAAAAAAAAAAATCACATGAATCAACAAAGCTAATTTCAGAAGCCTCAAACAAAGAGAATCTCATCATGTTTAGGAATTACTGCTAAAGCCAGCAGAGCCTGGTGATCTAATGACCCAGGCCAGCAGTTCTTATGTTGAGCTTATCACATCTCATTGATTTACAGTATCTAAATCCAACTTTACTTTATTGATTTTTAAACTGTGGTGCATCCAAGGCTCTCTGAAGAACCTGTAGCTGAGCCAAACAAAGGTCCCATCCAGCTAACCTTGATCTCTCATCTGTCCCTAAACCCCAAAACATCCCCTGCCATCAACCCTGCCTCCTTATTCTGTAAGAAAAAATATTCTTTTCCTAATACAAATGTGAGAATTGACCAAAATGGATCTGAATCAGCAAAGAGAGAGGCAGAGACAATTCTGAGAAGCAAGGAAGGCAGAGAGGGACTTTGATCTGTCCCACACTTCAGCTTTCTGAGCAAGGATTTAGCAAGTCTGAGCCAGCAATTGAGGATCCTGTGTGAGCTCCAGACCCTCCAGCCATTGTAAGGTTACATTCCCTGTACTGCAAATCTAATGGGAAGCAGAACAAATCAACACTTCTCCTTCAGGAAAGCAAATAAGGCCTGAAAAGATCAATTCCCCAGTTCAGGAGCCATGGCAAGACACCTGCATGCCTGGGATGTGAGGGGTGACCATGGACCAGTGTCCCCTTCCCTGTGCTCCCCAGCTAAGGCAAACACAGGGGCAATACATTCCATGGACCTCAACAGGGAGATGAACAATTAATGCTAGACAAGTCCTTCCCCAGGAAAGGGGAAAGCAGTGGAAAGAGGCCAAGGAGAGAGAGAATTCCAGGCAGAAAGGACTTGGCTCAGCCAGGACAGGGAGCAGCTTCCAGCTCAGAGGAGGGCAGCAGCCTCCCTGCATGGTTTGCTGTGAGTGCCACAGCTCCTCTCCCACAGTCTCATGCTCTGAGGGCAAATGGACTGTCCCCCCAGCAGTGACCAGGCTGTGTACACAGACCTTGACTCTGTTTGGAAGACTGGGCAACCCCATCTTCTCTCTCAGCCAGCAAAGCAGCTCTGCCCAAAATCGTCCCTCTGCTCCTTTGTTCCAGTCCCAGTGGTAATTACTGCTTTGATGTAAGGGGTGTTTTTTGTCATCATGCTCTTAATATTCAGGCTTTATTTTATAATCATTAGGGGTTTTTCTTTTTAGTCGTGCAAGTAAATTGCAATAAACACGTACTACATCACACTTGTATGTTTAATGTGATGTCATTTTCCTGACAATGTTTGAGGCAGCATTTTAGAGCAAAGGCTAAAAGGATAAGTAATTTCTGACTCACAGTAAGACAGAATCCCTTGAGGAGCTCAGTTTCTGAACATGCTTTGGTCTAAAACCATCTGCTAGGGCTCTCCTGCTCTCTCCCACTCCTGCAATAGGGAAAGCTATTGATGGTTGGTGACTCAAAGTGACAAGACAGAGGGATGCAGGCTCTCCCACTGATTTTAGTCCCTTGCTAATGCCATGCCCAGTCAGGGCTGTGGCCAAAGCCAGGCTGGATAAAATTCCCCAGCTG